AGTACGGTAGTTGTTATAACAAGTAGAGAAATGAAGGAAGGTGAAGAGTAACAGCAACCGGAGTGGCTAGAGGTTACACGAGGGGGACGGTAAGACTTTGTTTCTCCTAGACATGGAAGAACTTGTTCACCACAAAAATATGTTGGACTTCAGGTTCTCACAGGAGTAGCTATGAAAAGTTCAGCCTTCTGGGATATGCCATGTAGTTCAGTGAAATTCACCTTTTTTTGCCCACTAACTGCTTCCTGCCACTTACTTGCTTGACTTACTGGTTGACGTTGAAGATGGCAGTGTAATGTTCCTCCAAAACATCAGTTTTCTTTCACCAGACTACACTGTATTAAATCCCAGAATGCAGAACTCTTCCAAAATTCATGTTTTATATTTCTTTCAACAAAACTTAAAAATATGTCTCTTTTAAATTAATGAACACATGGAACGTGTCTGCAATTTTTGTTCCTTCCTGGTTCAATCTGTATCGTATTCAACGAGGCATGTTTTACTTTTCCAGAGACGCACTGTGGTATTGGTCTACCTATAATACAGAGTGGATCCACTTACTTAGCATGGTATAGCTCCTGTTACAAAGTGTAGAACGCCGGTCCTTTCCATGGGGCTGTTTGCATGATCTCCGCTGATGTACCTGTCATAGCTAGAAGAGATTTTGGTGTCAGCCGATTAATACTTGCTCACTGACTGGACGGTTGGCCAACATAGCCTCCAGCCGCGTGTCTAATTTCTGCGTAGAATCTGCGATAAGTGCTACTCCCGACATATGCATTTGAGTCTGATGAGCTACGTCAGCTTTTCAAAACGACGTAATTACTACTGGGCATTTTTTTCATACTTACCTCAGCGATCTTTAGCCGCGGCCTGTCTTGTGTTGGACCAGTCTGCACTACATAATTACTTCTCCGTTATGACTGTTTATCAGTAGGCGTTTGGGCTCCGGGGTGTCAATCCCCCTTTATGGTCGCAGGGGCATAACAAAATGCATACAGGTTTTGGGTAGGAAAACCAAAAGGAAAGAGACCACTAGGGAAACCTATACTTATATAGGAGGACAATACTACAATTGGTCTTAAAGCAACAGAGAGTGTGGTATTGTCTCAGGATTGGGTCCTGTGGCGTGCTCTTGTGAACAAGCTAATGATTCGTAAAGCGTTGGGAATGTCTTCAGAGGCTGGCCCACGTATGTCTTGTGAAAAGAGACTAGGCTCCATGGAGTTGGTTATAGGAGTAAAATGAGGGTTGTAGACATCAGAATAAAGACACGCTGAAGTAAGCAAAGAGAATGCACGCCTGTACAATTGTGGTCTGACCTGAGTTTGAAGACGAGTTGTCCCAGTCTGCCGACCCCGACACCGACGCCGCCCTCACTGTTTGTTAGGTTCTTCTCGTTCGTCTCCAGCTCCTCCTTAGATGGAGTGGTCGGCTTATCTTGCAGCTCGTTTTCTGTATGGAATGTTTCTTTCGGAACTGCCACATCGCCAATGGTTGTGTCGGTCACCGGACTGCTGCCCGACTGTGGCGGTGACAAGTTGCCCACCGTGGGAGTCGCAGTGCCGGACCCACCAGACTGAAGAATACTGGACATGAGCAATCCTCGCCGAAAGCCTTGTGGGAAATTGGAGGTTAGGGATATTGAGGTCAAAGCATGACAGATTTATTTATTCTTGTACTAAAACAAAGACAAAAATACGTAACAATATTTAGAATGTTCTCTTCTGGTTTATGACGCCGTATAATCCCGTAAGTGTTTACCAACCTCTCGAAGAAATTTCCTTCAAGTTGCTCCAAAACCCTAATGACGACCTACAGGATTATGTGGACTCATACTAATGTAGAAGATTATATTCAGAATCATTTTCCTGAATACTCCACACGTTATCTACACAATAATGCGTTTAACAAGTTAGGAAGTACATGCATAGCGTAACGATTGAAGCGGTTTCGCTACGATATGGCCTCTTCATTTCTCAACTTACGAGACGACAGCATAAAAATCCGATTTGTTTAGTTACTCTGAAAACCGCAAGAATTAACAATAAAACTGTATTGGTCAAAGTCCTTCCTATTTTTATGTGAAACTTTTGTTCGAAATATTATCGCCTCTATAAATATTTAGCGAGTTACCCTCGAAAAATTTGTGTCCAAGTCTTCATGTAAAGCGCCACTACAGATGATCGGTTTTTTGCAATATTTAGAATGAGTCTGTGGGAACTGCCCACATTCAAGCGTGACAACGCAAGTGTCATTGCTTAGCAACGACGAGTAAACAACGGTTGCTAGGCAAAAGCAAGTAAACAGCGGTTGCTAGGGAACTTATAAACACGGTAACCGGCAACAGCAGTACCTATTACGTAACCGTTTTCTATATATCCGACTCTAGGCTACATGAGAAGATGCACTGAGTTACAGTGACAGTTATTGGATCCGTAATGACTTATGCTAGTCCCGCCTGGGAGTTCGCGGCAGACACTCATCTAGTGAAACTGCAGCGCCTGCAAAACAAGGTTCTCCGCACGATTGGCAATTTTCCAAGGGGCACACCGGTCCGCGATTTGCACATGGCATTCAAAATTCCATACGTTTATGATTACATAACAAAATTATGCAGGCAACAAGCAGAAGTCATACAAAATCATGATAATGAGAATGTTCGCAACATCGGACAAGGCGAAGCCCGACACAGAAAGTATAAGAGGCTTAAACTTGGCGGCGGTCAGGCATACGACCGTTCAAGTAACTAGACTGCCGTGATAGCTAATACTATTAGGATATTTATTTATACAGGGTGTCCCAGGAGGAATGTGCCAAACTTCGGGAGGGTGTTCCTTATGTTAAAGTATGCCGATATAACCCAAAACACCTATGTCCAAAGTTGAACGGTTACGGAGATAATGGCCCGAGAAAAGTGTGGTCTTCTTGCAGGTCCACGCACTATACGTACCTGTCAGCTGAGACCCTTATCTGTTTGTCCTTGAGTGCCGCGAGTCACACTAGCGTAAGCTCATGCGCTGCCTACAGATTACGTTGCG